CATATACAACATGAGAATTTGACGATGGGGTAAGGGCCGCTTATATAACCCGCGATTACCAAAAATTGCAACAAAAGAAATCAGTAATCGACATTTTCAAGGACCAATAGGTTTTAAGTTAACTAATGGCACCGATGCTCAAAATATGCAACGGATGGTATATCGCGTACCACTATACCAAAATTAATTGTTGATCATGACTGCGGAGAAAGATTTTACCACGTGACTCACTTATCTGATTCATCAGATCGGCTTGCCGTAACAGGTGAACTGGTTGCAGCGAATCTTTTTTTCTAGAAATAAACCAGTAGCCATGCTAACTGATTTGTGGAAGAATTACTTCTACTGGATTGGTCATGCACAAGATGCTACATTACAAAATCCATCTAATATCATCTATGCAACTAAGTTTCAGACACAAGAGGGGGTTTGAACAACCTGAATAGTAATGACAGTAATCATTCTAATTATGGTAGATATGAAATATCCAGGGACTCTGCCATCAACCATATTGCACTGGTATGTCACTGGTACCAAATGCTTTCAAGACTGAGATGCCAATAGGACATCCACCAAGCTGTAACATTTGCATGGGCTTTGTTGATCCCTGAATCAGTGAATGGCTTTCCTGAGGCAATTCACAATGACTTTCCTGTAGTTGAGAAAAGAGCAAGGATCTGAAAGCCTATGGGAATCTTGATGATTTCATAGATGAGATGGATCCAGTGGAACGAAATTTATGGGAGGGAACCAAGAAATTTAGAAGTGTACTATCATTTATACCTTCAAGATTTCATGACTATATGTCAATGTATTCTTAAAAGTCTTAAAAAGTATATGTGATTAATGTAGTTGCAATGCAGGCTCATTCTATGAGTATGACAAATAGTGGTATTAGTATGGCTGAAGAAAAATAAAAAATAAAAAGTATTTGCACATTGTTACGGTCGGATGGGATGGTCTGGGGTTTGGGAGAGCGATTAATCTTTCGCGTAGGGGTGTTCTTCCGACCGGGGGTTATTACCAGATTA